AGAGAGAGAGAGAGAGAGAGAGAGAGAGAGAGAGAGAGAGAGAGAGAGAGAGAGGCAGTTGCGCTTCCCTTCCCTTCTCTCTCTCTTTCTCTCTCTCTTTCTCTTTCTGTGTGTGTGTGTAAAAAAGAGAGTGGCCTCACACTATTCTCTGACAAGCTGACAAGCTTATTGGGTGGGGCTCCTGCCTTTGCTGCACTTCCATAGGAAGCAGGAAGCAGCAGAAAACAGAAAACAGCAGCTCTCTCTCTCTCTGTGTCTATCTCTGTCTATCTCTCTGTCTCTGTCTCTGTCTCTGTCTCTGTCTCTCTCTTTCTTACTTACTTATTTACTTAGTGGGGGAAGAGGACTGGCAGACCAAGGGCAGGAGAGAGCCAGCCCAATAAGAATGTGTGTCAGCTTATTGGAGAACAGCGTGAAGCCAACTTGCCAGGTGATCAGAAGATCGGAGGGAGAGAGAGAGAAGGAGGGAGGGAGAGAGAGAGGGGGGGAACTCATGCACAGCAGCCTCTATTTCTTTTTAATTAAACTCTTCAATCAAACCCCCGCTCCTGTGGGGAAATGGGTCCAAGTGGCTCTTTGAGTGTTTAAAGTTGCCGACCCCTGCCCTAAACTCTGCTGAAGATGTTACCTAGCCTGGTGACGAATCGTTCGGAAACCAACCCACAAACCCGGAGAATGAACCTCCACCCTCAAATACAAATATTCCTGGGAAGGGGCTTCATATGTAACCAACCATTCCTTCTTGAGGTCCAGTATCTTAAAACCTTAAAAAGAAAGATAGTTTAAAATATAATATATTAAGAAGTAGTACAATCGAATCTTAACAAAAACAAAAAATCTGAAAAACGAAGGGAAAATCTGCAAGGTGTAAACCAGCAAATGCTCAGAAGAAAACAAAGGACGCTTACTTCCTTCAAGTTGGCTCATAATGAGGAGTGTGGTGGTTTCGTTGACCAGAGGCTGGGAATTATGCTGGAGCTGGCAAAGGAACATGGAGGAATTCCTGTCTTCTGTGGCCACCATCTCCAGGTGACTCTTGAGGGAAAAGGTCCCATCTGGATTCGGGGTCCTCGGGCCAACAATTCCTTTTCTACTTGGGGGGTCCTTGGGAAACAACTCCACTTTTGCATCGTCTGGGTAAAAACTGTCTACGTTGCAAGTGACCATCACAGTGGTGTTCAGCTGCACTGGAGAAAGTGGACTGGTCTCAAGTCGGATTTTGGGAGGAACTGAGCAAAGAAAGCCAAAGAGATCAGTCAGGAGAGCTTCAGACTCATGGTTCCTGTATGCAGAAGGGGCTGGAAGACAAATAGGTTCAGCTTTTTGATTGTGGCTTTGAGGAAATAATTCCAGGACAATTAGGATTAAAATATGTCTCACCAGTTGGGAACTCAATTTGACCCAAGTCTCCAAAGAAAGAGCCAGAGGTGGAAGGTCCTTCTAAAGACTTCTTCCACATAATCATAGCTCTGTGAGGGAGCTTGG